AAATAAATAAAAAGAAAGGAAAGTTTATTGGGGTACGCTCCCGGGCGATCTCCCTGATCAGGAAGAGAGGTTGCACTGAGTTTGGCTGTAGCAAGGTTTATATGGCCAGGGTCAGCAGAACTTTTAGCACGTAACTTGTTTTGCGAGTTTGAACAGTTTTGGGCCAGTGAAGAATGATTAGGACAGGTGGTGTATAATTGGGACAGGTTGTGTAAAAGGGAAGTGGCTTTCCTCAGCTGCCTCTGCCCTCCAGCGGCCAGTCAGTATGTCTTAACCAGCTCATGATGAGTCCACAGTGGGGCTCTATTTACCACAATTTGCAGAACACACATGGAGACAGGTAGTGTTTGGTAAAGGTGTCAGTCATCTTTGCCGCCAGGCGGGTGGCAGTATGTGTCAATGTGTCTCTATCCTAGAAATGACCTTGTTAGAATTATTAGATTTAAGAGTTCAGCTGAGAAAGTGCCCAGTTAAGCTCCAGTGAACTTTAACCAGAGAGCAGAGTGGGGGCCCCCAGCTATGGATTCTAGTTGTCATTCCCTAAAGCATTTGGGGACAGGACGTTCTGGGATCAATCTTTGATCTTTTTTTCTATTGCACTTATAGACTACTGGAGCTCTGGGCCACCTGCGCTATATTATCCAGAGCCATGGCAGAGCCTGGACCAGCCAGGGGCTTGCAGGTCTGTGTCTCCTCCTAAAGCAGCAATCTGCAACATCTTAATTAAATCAGGGACAAGAAGCAGGGGTTGGGTGGGCACCTTGACCCTAATGATCAAGCATTCTTGTCAGAAGCCAGAAATCCAGAATTTGATGTGAAATCTAATATTTAAGTATTGGCAACTAATTTAGATGGTGGAAAAAATACTTCATAGGTCAAGCAATGGCTGCTGGTAAAAATAATCTCAACAAATAGGCCTGGTTCTGGTGGCTCATATCTATAATCCTAGCTAATCAGGCGGCTAAGCTCTAAGGATTGTGATTCAAAGCCAGATAGGGCAGAAAAGTCTGTGAAACTCTTTTTTTGCCAGTTGTGGGGGCTGAACTCTGGGCTTGGGCGCTGTCTCTCAGCTCTTCAGCTCAAGGCTAGTGCCCTAAATCTTTTTTTTTTTTTTGTCTGTCTTGGGGCTTGAACTCTGGGCTTGGGCGCTGTCCTTGCACTCTTCAGCTCAAGGTGAGTGCTATACCACTTGATCCACAGCGCCACTTCTGTGAAACTCTTATGTCTAATTAATAACCAAAAAGACAGAAAGGTGTGGCTCAAGTGGTAGAG